CAAGTTGGTACAGTAGGGGGCATAGGTGGTGCATCAGCCAGTCATCTCGGTCATCTCGGTCAGTCGACCCGTGGCACCTGGGTCTGCCCCGTGACCTGCCAGCGGGCGTTCGACACTTCACGTGGCCTCAAAGTGCACTTGGCCTGGCACAAGCGTCGTGGTGACGTCACCGCCACTTAGTGGCGAATGGCGGTTGTTGTTGCTGTGGTGAGATGGTGGATGCAGTGGTGGTATCGTGGTGGTGTGGTGGTGTGGTGGTGTAGTGGTGGTGGTGTAGTGGTGAGGTGGTGGTGGGGTAGTGGTGGTGTAGTGGTGGATGCAGTGGTGGATGCAGTGGTGGTGTAGTGGTGGTGTAGTGGTGGTGTAGTGGTGGTGTAGTGGTGGTGTAGTGGTGGTGTGGTGGTGGTGTGGTGGTGGTGTAGTGGTGGTGTGGTGGTGGTGTAGTGGTGGTGTAGTGGTGGATGCAGTGGTGGTTGTAGTGGTGGTGTAGTGGTGGTGTAGAGGTGGTGTAGTGGTGGTGGTGTGGTGGTGGTGTAGATGTGGTGGATGCAGTGGTGGTATCGTGGTGGTGTAGTGGTGGTGTAGTGGTGGTGTAGTGGTGGTTGTAGTGGTGGTTGTAGTGGTGTGGAGAGATGGTGGTGTAGTGGTGGTGTAGTGGTGGATGCAGTGGTGGTGTAGTGGTGGTGTAGTGGTGGTGTATGTGTGTTGAACATCCTTCGTACCACTGTACATAGCCGACTGCGCTAATCGGAATTGCGGGGGAAGGATAACAAACAAAACACTAAAAAGCAGTTTCTAAGGAAGTGAGTTTTCAATGTCGATGATTTATAAGTGCAAAGCTCCCTGTGAAGAGTCGGTCTGCAGCAAACGCTGACCGTTTCGTCTCATCCATCATCACACTGCAGGTCACAAACAACTCACTCATTCACAACTCACTCACCCCCTCACTCACCACAATGCAGGTCACAACAACTCACTCATTCACAAATCACTCATTCACCAACACACTCACTCATTCACACACTCACCACAATGCAGGTCACAAACAACTCACTCATTCACAAATCACTCATTCACCAACACACTCACTCATTCACACACTCACCACAATGCAGGTCACAACTCACTCATTCACAAACTCACTCATTCACAAACTCACTCACCCACAAACTCGCTCATTCACACACTCACCACAATGCAGGTCACAAACAACTCACTCATTCACAACTCACTCATTCACACACTCATTCACAAATACACTCACCCACTCACCACAATGCAGGTCACAACAACTCACTCATTCACAACTCATTCACAAACTCACTCATTCACAAATACACTCACTCATCACAATGCAGGTCACAACAACTCACTCATTCACAGCTCACTCATTCACAAACACACTCACCCACTCACTCACCACAATGCAGGTCACAACAACTCACTCACTCATTCACAACTCACTCATTCACAACTCACTCATTCACAACTCACTCATTCACAAACACACTCACCCACTCACTCACCACAATGCAGGTCACAACAACTCACTCACTCATTCACAACTCACTCATTCACAAACACACTCACCTACTCGCTCACCACAATGCAGGTCACAACAAAAAAGTTCACCCACTCGCTCGCCCATTCTCTCACCCGCCCATTCTCTCACCCACCCACTCACCCACCCACTTGCTCAATATCGTACGGTGCAAAAGAAGTCCACGGTACGTGTGCAGCTGCGTTATTCCATCTGTGAGTCCTCACGGCCAAGGCGCCCCCCACCCTCCCCACCCTCCCACACCCCCCCCCCCCATCCTTACCCCCCCCCCCCGCGTCACTGGTTGGCAGGAGACGCAGACCCACGGTCGAGTTGGTGATGATATTGAGGCTGACCACGTTCCGTCGAGTTGAGCCGAGGTCATTGTTCTGGGTTCAGAGCTTGGTGGGGGGAGAGGGAGAGACGCGGTTTGATGTGGTGGAGGTGGTGGAGGAGGGAATTCCACAGCTGAGACACGGAGAGAAGCGATGTCGACCTCGCTAGTGGTGAGTGGGTGAGTTGAACGAGTGTGTGAGTGGGTGGGTAGGGGAGTGGGTTAGTGGGTGAGTGAGTGTGTGAGTGGGTGGGTAGGGGAGTGAGTTAGTAAGTGGGTAGGTAGGGGAGTGAGTTAGTGGGTGAGTGAACGAGTGGGTGAGTGGGTGGGTAAGGGAGTGAGTTAGTGGGTGAGTGAATGAGTGGGTGAGTGGGTGGGTAGGGGAGTGAGTTAGTGGGTGAATGAGTGGGTGAGTTAACGAGTGTGTGAGTGGGTGGGTAGGGGAGTGAGTTAGTGGGTGAGTGAACGAGTGGGTGAGTGGGTGGGTAAGGGAGTGAGTTAGTGGGTGAGTGAACGAGTGGGTGAGTGGGTGGGTAGGGGAGTGAGTTAGTAAGTGGGTGAGTGAACAAGCGGGTGAGTGGGTGGGTAGGGTAGTGAGTTAGTGCGTGAATGAGTGGGTGAGTGAACGAGTGGGTGAGTGGGTGGGTAGGGGAGTGAGTTAGTGGGTGAGTGAACTAGTGTGTGAGTGGGTGGGTAGGGGAGTGAGTTAGTGGGTGAGTGAACTAGTGTGTGAGTGGGTGTGACAAGTGAGTTTAGTTAGGGGCAGTGTTCTGGTTATTCATAGACGCTGATACTCGCTAACAGCACTGTTCCCCCAGTCTGTTGTGGCTATATCGGGGATCTTTGTGGTTTGGCTCTGAAAGGCCGCCCTAGTCATGACCACAGTGTGTTGTATTGAACCGCAAGCCATCGTGTGCCAGTGTCAGGGTCCACATTTGCCAAACTCGGAAAAAGGTTACCCGCAAATTACTCGCTTGTGATTACACAAAGACAAATATCCCCCGTATAGCCTGAAAATACTGTTGGGGCAAGTGCTGTTAGCGAGTAGCACCTATGCAGGCCGGCACACGAGGGGGTGGGTGCCCGGCCGCCTTTGTCTCCCCAGTGGCGATGTTTACACACCGCACCAGCCACCCATTTGTCGACCTCGGGAGAGGCCCAGGACCGGTTCAGATAATTGTCAGTGGTGTTCGTGGCCGTGAGCGGGAATCGAACTCGGGTAGCCGGGTTCACGGGGCAGCGCGCTCACCGCTACACGACCACTTCCCGCAACAACAACAACAACCGCCATTCGCCACTAAGTGGCGGTGACGTCACCACGACGCTTGTGCCAGGCCAAGTGCACCTTGAGGCCACGTGAAGTGTCGAACGCCCGCTGGCAGGAGGTCACGGGGCAGACCCAGCAGGTGCCACGGGTCGACTGACTGAGACGACCGAGATGACTGGCTGATGCACCACCTTTGCCCCCTACTGTGCTTCCCGCAAACACACTCACACACAGTGGCAAATCATTGCCCCCTACTGGCATCATACTTGACGCCCGCCTGCAGGCCAAGGTTACAGAGTCCTGCCGCACAGGGACAGCTGCCACCACTGGGGGTTGCCTTGTTAGAATCCGAGACGTATTGCACTTTTCTGTTGTCAATATTATCATTCTGATGGCTCTGATTGTTTAGCCCGAAAAGCCTCGCCGTGTCTCTTGACTCCTCTGCGTTTTACAACTCGAGATTGGCCCGGCAGTGCGTGCCGCCGTGGCCAGGAGATGTTGACTACCTCGCCTGGTGTGCAGGAGATCGTTGGTTCGATCCCGACCATAACGCCCGTTGTATATTTGGAGTTTGCGTATCTCTCATCATCATCATCATGGAAGCTAGGTAAATGTTAACTACCTCGCCTGGTGTGCAGGAGGTTGTGGACTTGAACTCGACCCTGACGCCCGTTGTATATTTGGAGTTTGTGTGTCTCTCATCATCATCATCATGGAAGCTAGGTAAATATTAACTACCTCGCCTGGTATGCAGGAGATTGTGGGTTCGATCCCGACCCTGACCCCTGCTGCTGTATATTTGGAGTTTGCGTGTCTCTCTCATCATCACGGTGGCTATGAGATGTTAACTACTATCGCCTGGTATGCAGGAGGTTGTGGGTTCGATCCTGACCCTGACTCCTGCTGTATATTTGGAGTCTGCGTGTCTCTCTCTCATCATCATCACGGTGGCTATGAGATGTTAACTACCTCGCCTGGTGATAATTGGTTCTTTACCCTTCTATCTGGCAACAAAACTGACACCTTTTTACAAGGAGTCATGTTTGCATAGACCGCAATACCTGCAGTCATAATACAAACAAAAGAACATAACTCTGATAATGTGCACTGTCCTTGAAGTTGATTGGTCCACACCCGAGACAGCTTTCCTTAGAGCCTAGTCTCATATGGGTTGGACCAGATGACGCCAAAAGGCGCACAACTCAAGGACAATGCACCATCAGAGTATGAGAGCTCGGGGTAAGCATCTACACTATGGGAACCTCATTTGCCAGCAAAAATATGATAATTGGTTCTTTACCCTTCTATCTGGCAACAAAACTGACACCTTTTTACAAGGAGTCATGTTTGCATAGACCGCAATACCTGCAGTCATAATACAAACAAAAGAACATAACATGTTCAGGAGGTCGTGGGTTCGATCCCGACCCTAACGCCCGTTGTTTATCAGCAGTTTGCGTGTCTCTCTCTCCCCCTGTGGTCGTGTGGATTTTTCTCCGGATCCTCCGCTTTTTCCCCTCCACATTTCGAATCGACGTCGCGCGTTTCGAGTGTTCGGCTGCTATAAATATCCACGCGGCAATGACGACGACGACGACGATGATGATGACGATGCCGCCGCGTGACGGAGCTCTCATTTGTTATGGCCGCGTCGTTCCGGGGCCTTGCACTGCGTGGGTGAACGGCGGCGCAGCGATTGACACAGCGCTACAGACCCCGCCGACTCTGCGGCCGCCCCCCCCCCCCCCCCCCCCCCCCCTCGTGTGCAGTGCCGGCCCCCCCCGGTACGCGCCCCTCTCCCCGTGTGTTGACGAGGCTACGCGGGGCACCTTTGCCCGCCGTGTGTGTCGCGCGCGCAGGGCTGAAGGCGCAGCTGTACTACGTGCGCGATGGCGTCGTCTGCCAGAACGCGTTCTCCTTCGTGCTGCCCGTGCCGGGGGACATGGGCAGCCTGCACTTCACGTGGCACGCCTCCACGCCGGTGAGCGGCACGCTGCACCGTCACATGCACCGTCACTTGCACCGTCACTTGCACCGTCACTTGCACCGTCACATGCACCGTCACTTGCACCGTCACTTGCACCGTCACTTGCACCGTCACTTGCACCGTCACACGCACCGTCACTTGCACCGTCACACGCACCGTCACTTGCACCGTCACTTGCACCGTCACATGCACCGTCACATGCACCGTCACTTGCACCGTCACTTGCACCGTCACACGCACCGTCACTTGCATCGTCACTTGCACCGTCACTTGCACCGTCACTTGCACCGTCACTTGCACCGTCACACGCACCGTCACTTGCACCGTCACTTGCACCGTCACTTGCACCGTCACTTGCACCGTCACTTGCACCGTCACTTGCACCGTCACTTGCACCGTCACTTGCACCGTCACTTGCACCGTCACACGCACCGTCACTTGCACCGTCACTTGCACCGTCACACGCACCGTCACATGCACCGTCACTTGCACCGTCACTTGCACCGTCACTTGCACCGTCACTTGCACCGTCACTTGCACCGTCACACGCACCGTCACTTGCACCGTCACACGCACCGTCACACGCACCGTCACTTGCACCGTCACTTGCACCGTCACTTGCACCGTCACTTGCACCGTCACATGCACCGTCACTTGCACCGTCACTTGCACCGTCACACGCACCGTCACTTGCACCGTCACACGCACCGTCACACGCACCGTCACTTGCACCGTCACTTGCACCGTCACACGCACCGTCACTTGCACCGTCACTTGCACCGTCACTTGCACCGTCACTTGCACCGTCACACGCACCGTCACACGCACCGTCACTTGCACCGTCACTTGCACCGTCACTTGCACCGTCACTTGCACCGTCACACGCACCGTCACACGCACCGTCACATGCACCGTCACTTGCACCGTCACTTGCACCGTCACACGCACCGTCACTTGCACCGTCACACGCACCGTCACTTGCACCGTCACTTGCACCGTCACTTGCACCGTCACTTGCACCGTCACACGCACCGTCACACGCACCGTCACACGCACCGTCACACGCACCGTCACACGCACCGTCACACGCACCGTCACTTGCACCGTCACTTGCACCGTCACACGCACCGTCACACGCACCGTCACTTGCACCGTCACTTGCACCGTCACTTGCACCGTCACACGCACCGTCACTTGCACCGTCACACGCACCGTCACACGCACCGTCACACGCACCGTCACACGCACCGTCACACGTACCGTCACTTGCACCGTCACTTGCACCGTCACACGCACCGTCACACGCACCGTCACATGCACCGTCACTTGCACCGTCACTTGCACCGTCACACGCACCGTCACTTGCACCGTCACTTGCACCGTCACACGCACCGTCACACGCACCGTCACACGCACCGTCACTTGCACCGTCACACGCACCGTCACACGCACCGTCACACGCACCGTCACACGCACCGTCACACGCACCGTCACACGCACCGTCACACGCACCGTCACACGCACGTCACTTGCACCGTCACTTGCACCGTCACACGCACCGTCACTTGCACCGTCACTTGCACCGTCACTTGCACCGTCACTTGCACCGTCACTTGCACCGTCACACGCACCGTCACTTGCACCGTCACATGCACCGTCACTTGCACCGTCACTTGCACCGTCACACGCACCGTCACACGCACCGTCACATGCACCGTCACTTGCACCGTCACTTGCACCGTCACACGCACCGTCACTTGCACCGTCACTTGCACCGTCACACGCACCGTCACACGCACCGTCACACGCACCGTCACACGCACCGTCACTTGCACCGTCACTTGCACCGTCACACGCACCGTCACACGCACCGTCACACGCACCGTCACACGCACCGTCACACGCACCGTCACACGCACCGTCACACGCACCGTCACACGCACCGTCACTTGCACCGTCACTTGCACCGTCACACGCACCGTCACTTGCACCGTCACTTGCACCGTCACTTGCACCGTCACTTGCACCGTCACTTGCACCGTCACACGCACCGTCACTTGCACCGTCACATGCACCGTCACATGCACCGTCACTTGCACCGTCACTTGCACCGTCACTTGCACCGTCACACGCACCGTCACACGCACCGTCACACGCACCGTCACACGCACCGTCACTTGCACCGTCACTTGCACCGTCACTTGCACCGTCACACGCACCGTCACACGCACCGTCACACGCACCGTCACACGCACCGTCACTTGCACCGTCACGCACACCGTCACACACACCGTCACTTGCACCGTCACTTGCACCGTCACATGCACCGTCACACGCACCGTCACTTGCACCGTCACTTGCACCGTCACACGCACCGTCACACGCACCGTCACATGCACCGTCACATGCACCGTCACACGCACCGTCACTTGCACCGTCACACGCACCGTCACTTGCACCGTCACTTGCACCGTCACTTGCACCGTCACTTGCACCGTCACACGCACCGTCACTTGCACCGTCACACGCACCGTCACACGCACCGTCACTTGCACCGTCACATGCACCGTCACACGCACCGTCACTTGCACCGTCACTTGCACCGTCACACGCACCGTCACTTGCACCGTCACTTGCACCGTCACTTGCACCGTCACTTGCACCGTCACACGCACCGTCACACGCACCGTCACACGCACCGTCACACGCACCGTCACACGCACCGTCACACGCACCGTCACTTGCACCGTCACTTGCACCGTCACTTGCACCGTCACACGCACCGTCACTTGCACCGTCACACGCACCGTCACATGCACCGTCACACGCACCGTCACACGCACCGTCACACGTACCGTCACTTGCACCGTCACTTGCACCGTCACACGCACCGTCACACGCACCGTCACATGCACCGTCACTTGCACCGTCACTTGCACCGTCACACGCACCGTCACTTGCACCGTCACTTGCACCGTCACACGCACCGTCACACGCACCGTCACACGCACCGTCACTTGCACCGTCACTTGCACCGTCCCACCGTCACACGCACCGTCACACGCACCGTCACACGCACCGTCACACGCACCGTCACACGCACCGTCACACGCACCGTCACTTGCACCGTCACTTGCACCGTCACACGCACCGTCACTTGCACCGTCACTTGCACCGTCACTTGCACCGTCACTTGCACCGTCACACGCACCGTCACACGCACCGTCACTTGCACCGTCACTTGCACCGTCACTTGCACCGTCACACGCACCGTCACTTGCACCGTCACATGCACCGTCACATGCACCGTCACTTGCACCGTCACTTGCACCGTCACTTGCACCGTCACACGCACCGTCACACGCACCGTCACATGCACCGTCACATGCACCGTCACTTGCACCGTCACTTGCACCGTCACACGCACCGTCACACGCACCGTCACTTGCATCGTCACACGCACCGTCACACGCACCGTCACACGCACCGTCACACGCACCGTCACTTGCACCGTCACTTGCACCGTCACTTGCACCGTCACACGCACCGTCACACGCACCGTCACACGCACCGTCACACGCACCGTCACTTGCACCGTCACGCACACCGTCACACACACCGTCACTTGCACCGTCACTTGCACCGTCACATGCACCGTCACACGCACCGTCACACGCACCGTCACTTGCACCGTCACTTGCACCGTCACTTGCACCGTCACACGCACCGTCACACGCACCGTCACACGCACCGTCACACGCACCGTCACTTGCACCGTCACGCACACCGTCACACACACCGTCACTTGCACCGTCACTTGCACCGTCACATGCACCGTCACACGCACCGTCACTTGCACCGTCACTTGCCACCGTCACACGCACCGTCACACGCACCGTCACATGCACCGTCACATGCACCGTCACACGCACCGTCACTTGCACCGTCACACGCACCGTCACTTGCACCGTCACTTGCACCGTCACTTGCACCGTCACTTGCACCGTCACACGCACCGTCACTTGCACGTCACACGCACCGTCACACGCCACCGTCACTTGCACCGTCACATGCACCGTCACACGCACCGTCACTTGCACCGTCACTTGCCCACGTCACACGCACCGTCACTTGCACCGTCACTTGCACCGTCACTTGCACCGTCACTTGCACCGTCACACGCACCGTCACACCACCGTCACACGCACCGTCACACGCACCGTCACTTGCACCGTCACACGCACCGTCACAGCCACCGTCACAACGCACCGTCACATGCACGTCACACGCACCGTCACACGCACCGTCACATGCACCGTCACTTGCACCGTCACACGCCCCGTCACTTGACCGTCACTTGCACCGTCACTTGGCACCGTCACACGCACCGTCACACGCACCGTCCACACGCACCGTCACACGCACCGTCACACGCACCGTCACACGCACCGTCACACGCACCGTCACATGCACCGTCACTTGCACCGTCACACGCACCGTCACTTGCACCGTCACACGCACCGTCACTTGCACCGTCACACGCACCGTCACTTGCACCGTCACACGCACCGTCACACGCACCGTCACATGCACCGTCACTTGCACCGTCACACGCACCGTCACTTGCACCGTCACACGCACCGTCACACGCACCGTCACATGCACCGTCACACGCACCGTCACACGCACCGTCACTTGCACCATCACATGCACCGTCACATGCACCGTCACTTGCACCGTCACACGCACCGTCACTTGCACCGTCACATGCACCGTCACACGCACCGTCACTTGCACCGTCACATGCACCGTCACTTGCACCGTCACATGCACCGTCACATGCACCGTCACACGCACCGTCACTTGCACCGTCACATGCACCGTCACATGCACCGTCACTTGCACCGCAACGGCATCGTCACACGCACCGTCACTTGCACCGTCACATGCACCGTCACATGCACCGTCACTTGCACCGTCACATGCACCGTCAC